TATATATATATATATATATATTCATTCATTCAAATGTGATTTAGTATAAGGGCAAAACCAAAACAGTTAATAGAACAATGTTTTATATGAACTCTACTGAGAAACTCTACTGCATTTGAGTAGTATGCTATAGTCCGCACTGCAAAATGAGACAACGGTATTTAATTCAAATCAGATTAATATTGACTAATATCATTAATCCCCATATATGTAATAAATTTTACCTATCTCTGGTGGTATCCTCAGGGGTTTGCTGGGTTTGTCAGTATTGCAGCACAACACTGCAAATTCTGTTCCTTTGTGTGTGAGTGCAACAACATGACATATGTCCAAAAGAGATGAACTGAAATTAATTTCATGAATTTGTCCCCCACCTCATGCCATTCCACAAAGATGGTGAAGTTTCTCACCTTAAGATTATAGGTAAAGATAAAAGTTCCCCTCGCACATATGTGCTAGTCGTTCCAGATGCTAGGGGGTGGTGCTCATCTCCGTTTCTAAGCCAAAGAGTCAGTGCTGTCCAGACGTCTCTGTGGTCATGTGGCCGACATGATTAAATGCCAAGGGCGCATGGAGCGCTGTTACCTTCCCATTAAAGTGGTCCCTATTTTTCTCCTTGCATTTTTTATGTACTTTTGAACTGCTAGGTTGACAGAAGCTGGGGCAAGTAACGGGAGCTCACCCCATTATGCGGTGCTAGGGATTCAAACCACTGAACTACTGACCTGATCGACAAATTCAGCATCTTAGCCACTGAGCCACCGTGTCCCATTAAAATTATAGCCACTGGCAGTTTTTTAGAGCACTCAGGTTTACAAGAACAAGCAACCAATCATATAGATGTCTTCCTTTTCATTTCTGAATACTTGATAGTTCTTACAGGTTCATTACAGTGAAGAGGAAATCATCTTCAATATTTGCCAACTGAACTATCACAATATATTACAGTAAACCTTTCACCTTGATTTGTCCTCCAAGTCCACCAATGAACATTAGAGTTGATGGATTTACATCTAGCACAGTGGCTGTTCCAGGGGACGTGGCACTTCTTCTGACGGGCTTCTGAGGAGAACTAGTCTCCTCTACACTCAGAGTGCCAGTTTTCGCAAACCTACGTAGAAGAATAATGAAGGAACTAAAATAGTTAAATCTGCCAACTGGTGTTACACATAGATGCAAATATTTATATAGTTCATGGCAACTGTTCTGAATGCCTTATCATTTAGAAGTTGCTATTTATTGATTTTATTTATATCCCATCCTATAGAATGGAGCTCCAGGCAATGTATCTACTGCCTCATCCTTTTCCTTACAACAACTCTGTTAATAGATTGGACTGAGAGACAGCGAGCAACTGGTCCAAGGTTGTTCTATGGGACTAGTCCAACAGCTTCTAAACCCCACAACAAAAATTAAGTGTATTCATTAAATTCAGTTTATTTACGCAGACTTCCCTTTTCCTAAAAAAATTACAGATTCTGTACCAAGGTATGAAAACTCTTCTACTTCAGGGTATACAGTTTGCTTGAGTTATATGTATAACTGTGAATAGGCTATAGTGAATTTACAGGATGGTTGAGAAGGACAGAAAGAAAATTTGTTGGTATAAATGAGGCTTCAGCTTTAGCCAAGAAAATGATTTGAAGATGATTTACAAAAACACCTCAAACAGCATCCCCTCTGCCTCTTAATTCCAAGAGGATACTGTAGCTGTTCTAATACAAGTAGTTTTAATACAGTAGTTCTAATATAAGCTGCACAATGAATGCTTCTTAGTCTGGTCTATCTCATATAACTGACACAGCCTTGACATAATAGTGATATTTTTCAGCTAATAAAGTCCCTGGGAGTCAACTTGCATTAAGCTACATAAGTTTCAAAGGCCATTTGAGTGCCTTTCTGTGGTTGAGAGGGGATTACAATGTCAGTCTCCCTGCTTCTAGTGTAACTCCTTAATGAAGGCTCCTGGGCTGAGAGAGGGAAATTGGCCCAGTGAGCTTCCTTATCTGAGGATGATTAAGAGTCTTGGTTTCCCCGTCTCATGGTCCAACACCTTAACTATTGTGCCACAAGGCCCTTAAAATATCTATGTCTGTGTCAGGTTCTGTGATTACGTGTGACTTGTCAGCATTCTTTCATGCTCCTCAAGTCAATATGCTTTAACATTTAGGAGAATGAAGAGGGGTTTTAAAAGGCAGAACAATTACCATACTTTATATTTTACAAAGGCTTAAGGCATCACTTTCAACATTTAAAATTGTTGAATGTGCTGAAAAATTTGGTATTAACTAGCTGTTGGAATTATAAAACTAATAGTATCTATGTATCTCTGGTTTGTATCTGTTTATCTCTTACATCAACTTATGATAAATACCTTTATCAGATAAATTAAACTATTATTCTAAAAATGCTAATAGCTGTTTATTCTCAACACAACTTACCTTTTCTAGATATCTACATAGATAGTATCACATCCATAGTATTTTACCTTGTAGCGTGTATTCTATGCCACTTATTGTTGTTAATAGATAAATCAGGGTATTCCAGTCTTGTTGATCCAGACCCCAAATCCCACAGGAAGGCTACCTTGCCACGTCTCATCTCCACTGCCATGAAATCAGTCTAAGAAAAAGTTTGTGAACATAAAAGAACATTAAAGTGTTCTAAAAATTTTAAAAATCTCTTAAAACAATCTTAATTGTTATGGTTCCATAAGAGAAACTATAATCACAACCATTTTAATTTTTACTTTTCTTTCTGGTCCTGTGAAGGAAATTTATTATTTAACATACTGCTCTGAAGTGGGCCATCTCAAATACAGCATCTTAAATATGATATACTATACAGTTGAAACTAGCCAACCACAAAAAACACATGAGAGCCGAGGTGGCACAGTGGTTAAATGCAGCACTGCAGGCTATTTCAGCTGACTGCAGTTCTGCAGTTCGGCTGTTCAAATCTCACCGGCTCAGGGTTGACTCAGCCTTCCATCCTTCCGAGGTGGGTAAAATGAGGTCCCGGATTGTTGTTGGGGGCAATATGCTGACTCTGTAAACCGCTTAGAGAGGGCTGAAAGCCCTATGAAGCGGTATATAAGTCTAACTGCTATTGCTATTGCTATATTGGAAAACCCAGGGAAAATAATATAAGGTAATATTAATGCTGATTACACTCATATTTGAAAAGTCATTAGATGACACAAGATGTGCTAAACTTTTCCAACTCAATTTTAAGAACTTAAAATAAAGTGAGGACTGTTAAGACATTTTGCTTGTAAATGAAGCATTCAAGAAAAAAAACATTTTGAAAATGTAAAGGCCACATAAAATTATATAGGCTTAATTAACCACAAAATCTTTTAAATGAACATACTGTACCTCTAACTCTATATAAAGTACAAGCCATGTTTTTAAAGAACAAATTAGAATTACAGAACTATAAACTACTATAAAAATCAATCTAAATTAACTGTACTAGATACAGTTTAGATACAATTGATTACAATTAATTGATTGGGAGAAATTGTGATGGTAAAAAATACAAAAAGAAAAGAAAAGGTAGTATTGTTTTTTGAAATCCAAGTAATTTACTATTGAACTTCTTTTATCCAATTGGACAGCTACCTACTGCCAACTATAAAGGTTAAAGGAAATAAGGTTTCATTATTTATTTATAGTTTCTACTGACCATTATAGTTTACTTAATGTAAACGCAACAATGAATATTTAGATGTATTGAATTACGGTTTGTATAATATCTTGTCATTTAGCCATGCTTCTGGACCCATGAGAATTAGTCCATATTTACTATCCAGTTTTAAGAATTGTATCATTAAAAATGATCATTAATGTTTGAATATTCAGAATACTAAATTTAAAAGAATATTTATTACTGATCCACTGAAGTCTGATATACTTGAAATATTCAAGATATTTCACCCCTGCATTTCATAATAACCCCAAATATTATGCAACATTATTTCATTATCACATATACTAATAAATATTAAAGTTGCCACTATACTCATAAACATGTACAATCACTAAAATTGACCACTAAAATGCAACTTATTTGTTGTATGGATGTCAGATAATATAATTCAGTAGAAACCCAATGTAACTCAGGACTAATAGCTGGTAAAGTACCCAGTCTATAGAAGAATCGAGTTATAAAGTCCTGTACTTACTTTACCATTGCTACCCAGATAGAACAAAAGATTGTCAGGTTCCATTGTTTTAACATTTAATGTTAATGTATTGTAGTTAGTAGATAATATCTGGGGTTGGTAGGCCCGAATACAGTCTTTTTCCACAGATACTGCAACTTTAATCTGACAAAAGGAAAAACAAAAAATCTATATAATGCAGGTACAATTTACACACATACATGTAGAGACACATAGTGGATATCATAGAAATATTATTTACATTAATGAATAAAAAACTTGACATAATCAATATTCTGATTTTGTAAACTGCTTAGAGAGTGATGTAAAGCATTGTGAAGCAGTATATAAGTCTTAGTGCTATTGCTATTGCAAATCAGATGTAGGAGTCATGAGATGGACAGCATATAAATTTATTAAACAAAAAATGAAATAAACCAACGGGAGGGAGCATCTTTCTCGATGTCTTTATATTTCACCAAAATCATGAATGGTATTTCTATATATTGCTGGTAGGGGCTGCTCTGTACATCCTACAATGCAAAACATATTGAGGAAATAGCAGATCGTGGAAAACAATGCATATTTTTTCAGGACCTTGGTTAGTTGTACTTGATTAGGGACTTATGTTCCCTAAGATGTGGAAATTAGATGTTTGAAGCAAAAGCCAAATGAAAAGTATGGCTTCTGAGAAAAGACTGGAATAGATGGATTAGGGAATGCCTAAAGTGATAGTTTTAGGAAGGAACTGGGATTTTTAAATAGTTGAAGACAGCACTATGCAGAATGGAGTGATGAGGGGTCCTTGGTGCTCTCTGAATTTGGTTACTTTTTTGCAGATGTTTCATTACCCAAACTATGAAACATCATCACTGTTAGTTATCATTTAGCATGGACAATGTTAAATAGTTCGGACAATGAAATGTCTGCAAAAACTACAAATTCAGAGAGTTCCAAGGATCTCTCATTTCAAACCTGAGCTATAAATATTTTCCTTTATTAGAAAGAAACGAAGAATGTCCTGGGATGACATGCAGGAAGGCCATGGAGAGCTTTGACAATAGAATTAGTAGTTTGTACTAATTAGTAGTCTCATACATTGCATGTGCCTGTTCTCTTTGAAACTGCATTTTTGAAAATAAAAGATCCATGGAAGTAGCCATGGAAGTTTAATTTTATTTAAAGAAAAATACAAGTTCTTTCCTCCCTCACTATCTATCATAGTAATAGTAGATGCATCTATTTAGGGCATGTACTTTACATTGAAGAACATATGTACTTTGTCAGTTATAGTTTATTACAATGATGCAACTATTTAGGATAGTTGCAAAATAGCAGTTTCTTTTCTGGAATACAGAAAAAGGTTAGATGCTTACAGAAGCCGCCTGTTTGCGAGCCTGGTTTATGAGCTCTTTAATTTCAGAGATGTTTCTGCTTAAATTCTCTTCCAGTATTTTCAAAGGTTTCAATCTTCCATATAACAGACCAGCCTGGATTTCAACTTCATTCACTTTTTTTTCAGCTGATGCTGCTGCCAAAACAGAAGTGGAGATATCCTGAAAAAAAAGTCTTGGGGCAATTCTGCTAACTATTTATTCATGTTTTAAACTGCAAATGAATAATGAATACATATACAAAAAAAATATGTAACTACATTTAATTTTTTACTGATTTTTCATTCAGCCTGGCTAGTCTGAAATGCCAACTTTCAATAAAAAAGATAGAAAATCTCATCACAAGTTCTCACCATATCAAAGTATACTAGTACAGACTGCTTTCAATATGAATAGGATAAAGAATTCTTTGGATTAAAAATTAATCCCTCTCTTGCATGCAGTAACATTTCTAGTAAGCAATCAAGCAGCAAACCTACCAGCATTTGTTGAGTCAATTATAAGTTCATTTGTTTTCTGCAACGTATCATTAACTTTAGATAATGCAGATGAAGAATTCCACAGCTTCTCACTAAAACCGTCAGTACGGCGTATACCATTAAGGGCAGTCAAATTAGCAGAAAGAGCTAGCCCTTTTATTGCCAAAATATTTTCATTAGTATCTGAAACAAATGATCAACACACATTTTATTATCTATCCTCCTGCTTGCAAAGAATAGAAGACTCAATCTTTGAAACTTGGTTGCCATCTCCCTCAGGAACAAAATGAACCCAGTAGAGAAGATCTGTGATCAGAATCTCATATTTATTTTAATTCCCTAAACTTAAATTGTACCCTACTCTGATAAATGCAGTACTATCTTATGTCTGTAACTGAACAAGTAATCACAGCATTAAAAACCCTCTGGGTGTAGAATTACAACATCTAAGCATATGCCTGCCCACTTCCTTTAGTCACTGATCCCCTATTGTATGGAGAGACTATTAAGATTCATATAAATTGAAATAAAGGCTTTCCACATGACTGTTCCCTATCACATAAACTGGTCGGTTTACAATTAAATGAACACAAGAATAATCAGACCCTGCTATAAAACTATCTATTTCTGGAATTAGGAAATTTGTGAATCTGTAAGCAGTTCATTTGCTTTTGTACATAAAACAATTCTAATTATCTCAGCAACCACTCTAATGTGATATCTGTCAAATTAACAATTAAATTTAGAGTTCTTTTTAATCCATATTTCATAGTGTCCTGAATTCGTTTGGTTTCTGTTTTTAATCTTAAAGAATTGACCACCAAAACCAGAGTTAATGTGGAAAACTGAAGTTATACATATAGTTATACATATAAAAGTAATTCATATAAAAACTATATGATTTTTCCCCATTATGGTTTTCTTTTATCTTCAGTATATTAACTAGGTGATGTCTATTACAGTGAAGAAGTAGAAGTAGTACCATCTTGGAAAAAGAAATGAATAACGTTTCATCTGATTGCTAATGCAAAAAGCTGCTACTATAAAGCTTAATACAATTGGTTATTACTTATACATGCAGTGTTAAATTATAGTTTGTTGGTCATGGAAAAGACCAATAAAATACCATTCAAATTTGCAATCCTATTTCAGTATGGCTAGGTTTCAGAGCTTTAATTGGCAGAAATCCAGCCAATGAATCTTTGCTTAGCACAATGCACAGGAATGTAAGTCAAATTATTTCTATTCATTTTCTTTTCTTTTTTTGTTTTAAATGAATGAGAACATGCTGAAAACAGCAATCATATATTGTCCTCTTACACACATGCCTTCAAAATCAATCAATCAATCAATCTGACATAAAAAGATCAGATTTTCCTGTGGTGATGAAGTTAAATAGATTTGCTTTCTGGAATGAAGACAATGCTATCAAGATGAACTTCCCTTACCTCTGGGCAATGCAGTCAGCTGAAGTAGGGAATCATTAAACCTTTTAGCAATTCCACTGGCTTTCGCTTTAAGCCTTTCCACTTTTATATTAATTTCATTTAACCCTGACCTGAGTCCTATAGAGAAAAATAGTTGTAAATCCAAAGCAGTAGATTACTTTTTGTAAGAAACTAAAAGTAGTGAATTGTGCCTTATATAATCTGTAATCTATATGCTAAAAAGATGCCTATTCAGCAGAGGGCTGTATATAGGTTAAACTAATGAGCAAAGGCAAATGTTGCCAGGGATCAGACATAAAAAATGCACTAAAACATAATTGCAGCCTGTGCCAAATAGGTCACTGTTTTATTGCTTCCAGGAAGATAATTTGTAAGTGACCCAAGTTTATAGGTTCTTTGTTACAAAATTTTTCATGCTAATATACAGCAACCAATATTTACATCCAGCAAAGATCTCAGGTGGAGTAAACATCTTAATTTTATTAGCACAAGTGTCTTGTAATTATAAAAGATCTAACACCCCCCAGTAAGCTTCATTACTGAGCAAAAATTAATATCTCAACCTATATGTAATGAAACCTACCATCATACTTCTTGTGAAGATGTTTTGCATCCATTAAGACTGTGGAGCTAAGCTGAAGAACATTTTTCCCAGTAGTGTTAAAGGGCCCTCTTTGCTTAAAACAATCACACAAAAGAAAACATTATTTATGGGAAAAAGCAATATTAATATTACAGGATTCAAGCAAAAGATAATTTTGAAAAACCCTATGTGTTATATGGATATAAAAAAACTCATCTATAATTTTATATCATTTTAGCTTAAGCTTCCAATCTCACTCCTATGATTAAGCACATCAGATTTATTAATATGAGACAGAAAACCATAAAAACATATCTTCACATACATAACACACAACTATATTAGAAATAGGGTGTTGTGAAGATCATGAATACTTACAAAAATGTTTTGCTAAAATGGCCTTGTACAGATGTAGTTGACTTTTATCAACACATTCCATAGCAGCTGCTTGACTTGTTCAAAGAGATCCTGGAGTTGCACTAAATGCTTACATTGTGCATAATTATTTGGATTTCTGAGAACTTTGAACTGAAGAAGAAGGGTCTCATCCTTTACCCATTTACACAGTAAGAAAAAAATATTATGCTAAGGTTTGCCAGGTGTCACATCACAAAGATTAGGTCTACCTAAAACTGAAAACAATTAAGCTTTCCAATTCTTTTCAATAGATTGAATTTCTTAAAAGGAAAACCTTGTACAAATAAGGAGACACTTATCATTCCTTGCTTTCATTAAGTTTTCAGAAGATCAGTTTTATAGACTCCAATACAGAGCTTTCAACAAAGAAAAAATATGATTGATGAACAAGTCAGAAGCCACTTTCATTGTATGTAGTGGTGCTTATTTTTTGTAATTATGCTTACATAATTTCATAATTAGAACAAAAATCTGGCCATTGTGGTTAGCCATTAAAACATTCCAAAACCTTTCATTTATTTGAGAAAGGAAACAAATTCATGTGTAGGATTTTTAAAAATCTGATATTGTGGGATACAAGCTATACATACTCAAGACACAACTGCTTTAAAGAGTCACATTAGAGACACAGGTATTTTAATGAAGCAACTCCATACATTTTTTTCAGGTTTACCTAGAAAAATGTAGTTCCTTTAAAGAGATAAAGGGTTTCATTCCCAGATGTTGCAAAACACGTCTACCATATAAGTTTTGAATGATGAATACCCATATTGAAGAATGTATACATGTATTGATCTTACTCAGACTTATTATGCACTCACCACATGTATTGGTTCATAGATAATCTTAGTGACATCACTTGCCAGATTCTCTGCACTTTCAACTAGATTTCTGATAGTAGAGTACACATAGACAGAATTTGTCACGTTCACAGTCACATTTCTAACATTCAAAAGGCCACTGCAATAGAAGGTGAAAGTTATATCTTTTGCATGGAATTTAAACCTATTAAACCTATTAAATTACGATCATCAAAGTAAAATAGTCAGATTTTACTAGAACCTACACATTTGGAACAGTTTATTTATTTATTTTATTAATTAAATTGCTACAATGGCCATCTAGCCTAAATGACTCAGTGGTTTATAACAACATGCACTTGAAAAATAGCATTGTATTCTTTTAAAAACATAGAATATAAGTTGCATATTGAACAATACATTGTGTTTCATTCCAAATGCAGTCATTAATTCCAGTGTCCTGTCACAATTGAAAGTTTATTTTCTTGAATAATTATATTATATTCTAGATGAAACAGCTTATGTATTTCAGTTCCAGTAATACTTTGCCTATCTATATGTAGCAATCATGTATGTTAGAGCTTATATGTATAAAAGAAACATATAAACTCAGAAGAGCTGTAGTACCAGCTACATTGGTAGCTGATACTACATTGTATTGATTACAATTGCTGAAGAAGGAAATTGTGACCATTGGTTTGAAGCACTAGTTATAACTTCATGAATCATATGCATATAGAATCTATGTCCTTGAAATTCTATGTGTGCAGAATTAATAATCAATTTCTGGTTTGAATGTAAGGGTTGAATTCCACACTCTAGACTGGAAGTTTTGTATTTCTATGTAAAGTTTTGGGTCTAATAATCTTTGAGGCACAAAGCCATTTCTAATAGACAGACATTTTAGGCTCTACGGACCGTCTGCAATCTATTTAAGTAAAGCATAATCTAATGATGACACTTTTACCTGTCTAATTCATGAACATTTTTTTCCAACTCAGCAGCATGATCTTCTGTCTTATAGACAAGTTCAAGAGCGCCTCGAGTAGACATCTGCATAACCAGGTCATCCACATGTTGTCTTAATTTACTACTCCATAACATCAATTCATCCTGGTGGATTTCTAGATCCTAAACATTCAAAATCAGTTAATATCATATTATGGCTAATTAACTATGTATAAATTAGAATTATGAGTATTCAATGACTTACAGACGTGGAATTAAATATATCCCTCGCAAAGGTGGCAGCAGCAGTTGTTTGGATTTTTCCTTCTTTTATCAGTGTAACAGAGAGCTCCTCGTCTTCTTTAACATTCAGCTTTTTATTCTGAATACAATATTGGGTATAATTAAAACTTTATATCAGCTATTACAGAGTAAGTATATCTTACATAAAATCCCTTTATACTTAAAGGGATGCAAATGTTAAGTGTAATATACTTTGCCTAATGCTAATGTGAAACCTAATTTTTTTAAACACTATTTTACACACACAGAAAAATCTACTGTAAAATCACATGAAATGTTCTTACATTGAACTCATTGAGGTTGTTATTAATAGGAACAAGCAGACGTCTGGCCTCTTCAGTGTTACTGTTTGCTATATTAACAACATCTTGGGCTTCTTGATGTTTGATGCTATGGTCAGATAAGGCAAGTTTTGCTGCTTTTTGAAAGTCCTTAATTTTTTGCTGTGGTCTCCAATATTCTCTCTGGATTTGTGTCAGCAATTTTTCTGCATCTCTAAAATATATATATATATAAGACATTCACAAAGTTATGTGATCCCTTTGAAAGTAAAAGCCATTCTGGATGAAGTTAAGATCTGTCTCATATACAGTAGCTAATGAGAAATTTGGCTTTGTTGTTTACTTACATTGTTTGTAGCCACCTACCATAAAATCATTGTCCTAGGATTACAAGCAAGTGCTTATGATATAAAGTGCAAAGTTGCATTTACCCTTGGTTTGTTTGGATGGACTAAAGTATGACCGGTGTTTGAATATCACAAGATGTTATTCTCAAAATATTTAAAGGAAAGGAGATAAAGAAACTATCTCCTATTTAGTGACAAGGCCATGAACACTAACATTCTGTGCATTCTAAAAGTGCTTTTTCAAAAGGTAGCTGGACTTTGTTTGTTCCTTGAAAATGTTTTGCTTCTTATCCAAGAGGCTTCTTCACTTCTGAAGAAGCACCTTTGGGGCAACCATGACCTTGATGACTGGTAATCTTCATAAGACATTCTGTGCATTCATATCCCAAATCTTTAACTTATTGTTTGGCATAAAGTGGTGAATGCACTTAACATTTATTCTTGCCATGGTCTCAAAAGCAAAAAAATCAGTGGAAAAATATCAGAACTCTTGATGGAAATCAAGACACTTTTTATTGGATGGCATCTTCTTGACTATAACTTAAAGAATATTTCTGACTTCTTTTATTTATATTTTAAGAAATTAATTTTATACATTAAATCACATTTCATTATTTTCTGATTGTTTTTTTTTTTTACAAATTCTCATTTTGATATTTTATCTAAAGCCACACGAAATTACATTACGACACAGTTTTGGATTTTATTACAAGCGAAATCTTGGCTGTAGTTCTCAGTTAAATATCTTTGATATATATCCCAATAAGAGAAATTTTACCCTCTACTTCTAACACATTCTAAATCTAGTTTCTAAATCAATTTACCCTAAAGACAGCTTGAAACAATTTATCTGCATGAGGTATGAGTTATGTACAATAGACCATATAATTCCTGGAACTGGAAATTAGTGCTAAATTTAAAGCATATATGAAAATCAATGACTCATTCTACGCCTTTAAAAAATTAAGTATTCTAATTTTAGTGAAAATCCCCTGTTGTTTTATGACATTAAGCTTTTAATTTGATTTAATACATTAAGCATTTTAGAAATTACATTTAGCAATTCATTCTTATAAAAGTCAGATATATTTTTCTTTACTTGTCTTAAATATTAATTATGAAAATTGCAGCAAGCCACAAAAGACTTACTTTAATTCATGTATACTATCTTGATGCAGTTGCTGGAAATATCTTCCACGCATTATGTCCAACCTCTTGGGAATATCATCTTGCAATTTCTGAAGTGTTTTATTTGATTGTGGGAAATCACTAGCACCTGTCATGTTAATAGTAGCTGCCATTTCCACAAGCACTTGGTGGAGAAAGAAAAAAATAATTGGGAAAAAAAGAAGATTTTAAAAATCACTTTATACAAATGCAGAAACAATTGATTTTATTTAGCCCTCGCATCCTGGTCATAAATTGTTTCAACTCCTACCCTCAAAACAACTTTTTAGAGCATTGTACACCAAGACAACTAGATACAAGAACAGTTTTTTCCCGAACGCCATCACTCTGCTAAACAAATAATTACCTCACCACTGTCAAACTGTTCAGTAAGGCTGCATTACTATTATTCTTAGTCTTCTCATTGTTCCTATCCCCCATCTCCTCCCCCTTATGACTGCAGGACTGTAATTTTGTTGCTTGTATCCTGACAATTTATATGGATATTGATTGCTTCCTGACTGCTTATTTGTACCCTGTGACTATCATTAAGTGCTGTACCTTATGATTCTTTACGGATGATGTATCGTGTCTTTTTATGTCCACTGAGAGCATCTGCACCAAAGACAAATTCCTTGTGTGTCCAATCACACTTGGCCAA